TTTGTGTGAATGCTTTGTGTGTGTGTGTGTGTGTGTGTGTGTGTGTGTGTGTTTTGACACTGTCACAGACTCAGTTGTCAGGTCGAGTCTCCGTCTCTCCTCCACCAGACCAACAGACCTCTTCAGCGCAAACATTCACATCAAAGACAGACTATAAAATCTGAAATGCTTTTTATTGAAAGATTACAAACTGAATGCATAGGAATTGGATTATGCACTCTAATAATAAAATACTGCAAAATGCAATTTTGATATGCAGGTTTTTAAAAAAGCACACATTTTTCATGGCCAAACCTCTGACCTCATTATAACTTTAATAAACAACACTTGAGAAGAGATTACGAGATATCGCTTATGGGACATTTGACATATGAATGCATTTCAAATTATTTTCATGATTTAAAGATCATCTATGAGTGAAATTCTTCCTATTTATTTAAAAAAATGCATGCAGTTAGAAATAGACTGCAATATACTACATATTGTAGTGCAGAAGACATGCTGGTGCAATCAAACAAGTTGCTTTGAATATAAAATTGGTCATAATATAAGCATAAATATGATGTAGGAGAATATACCACCAGCAGGGTGCAGTGATGTTATTTGTGTTGTTGTATTGTTGATCAGCAGCAGAGGGCAGTAGAGGCTCGTGTTGTATTATTGTGCATCAACAGTAGGCGGCAGTAGAGTTCCAGTCAATGCTGTGTGTTTCTATTGCGTGTCACCAGCAGAGGGCAGTGTAGAATTATTTTTGCTGTATTCAGACTCAAATTGGAGGTTTAAAGAGCTTCATTGGAAAGCGACCTTACTCATGGCAGGCGCCATATTGAACTGAACGCGGATGAAAACGAGGCTGAGAGGGATATACGTCACAAATCTCATTTTCACAACTTTCCAAACTATTATCCCTCACAGGCTCGTTTTCATTCCTTTCACAAATCAATAAATAAACATGGTGTATTAGCCTAATAATGTCAATACAATAAAATAAAGGCTTTTATGCAGTCTGGTTGACCTCTTTCATTATATGGCAGTATGGTTTCTTAGCACTTGTTTTAAATTAGGCTAATGATAATTACTACCTCCTTCCCAAATCCCTACAGTAACCTTTAGACACTTTTAGATTTTAATGAAGATTTTATTAACCCGTCTTCCTCCCAAAGGTTCCCACAATGTAGGTGATTTCAGCTTTTAATTCATTTTCAAATCAAGCGAACTGATCCCATAGTATTAACAGGTTTTTGGACATACAGTAGTCCCAGATGTAAATACACGAAAATCTGTCTTCTAAAAATCTATTCGCTAGTACTAAAATGTACCATGGTAATACCACGTTTTGGCCATGGTATACCAATGCACTCTTTAGTACGTATTTGTATAGCAAAGTACTACAGTATTACGTCTTGACCTTTTGTATAGGTAAGTTAGGGTTAGGTAAAAACCCCTCATTTCTGAAGCTGTTGTCTCTCCGGAGTGCGCTCGTGCGCATGCGCAGTCTCCGCCTGCAGCTCTGTGTGTGTGTGTGTGTGTGTGTGTGTGTGTGTGTGTTTTGACACTGTCACAGACTCAGTTGTCAGGTCGAGTCTCCGTCTCTCCTCCACCAGACCAACAGACCTCTTCAGCGCAAACATTCACATCAAAGACAGACTATAAAATCTGAAATGCTTTTTATTGAAAGATTACAAACTGAATGCATAGGAATTGGATTATGCACTCTAATAATAAAATACTGCAAAATGCAATTTTGATATGCAGGTTTTTAAAAAAGCACACATTTTTCATGGCCAAACCTCTGACCTCATTATAACTTTAATAAACAACACTTGAGAAGAGATTACGAGATATCGCTTATGGGACATTTGACATATGAATGCATTTCAAATTATTTTCATGATTTAAAGATCATCTATGAGTGAAATTCTTCCTATTTATTTAAAAAAATGCATGCAGTTAGAAATAGACTGCAATATACTACATATTGTAGTGCAGAAGACATGCTGGTGCAATCAAACAAGTTGCTTTGAATATAAAATTGGTCATAATATAAGCATAAATATGATGTAGGAGAATATACCACCAGCAGGGTGCAGTGATGTTATTTGTGTTGTTGTATTGTTGATCAGCAGCAGAGGGCAGTAGAGGCTCGTGTTGTATTATTGTGCATCAACAGTAGGCGGCAGTAGAGTTCCAGTCAATGCTGTGTGTTTCTATTGCGTGTCACCAGCAGAGGGCAGTGTAGAATTATTTTTGCTGTATTCAGACTCAAATTGGAGGTTTAAAGAGCTTCATTGGAAAGCGACCTTACTCATGGCAGGCGCCATATTGAACTGAACGCGGATGAAAACGAGGCTGAGAGGGATATACGTCACAAATCTCATTTTCACAACTTTCCAAACTATTATCCCTCACAGGCTCGTTTTCATTCCTTTCACAAATCAATAAATAAACATGGTGTATTAGCCTAATAATTTCAATACAATAAAATAAAGGCTTTTATGCAGTCTGGTTGACCTCTTTCATTATATGGCACTATGTTCTTAGCACTTGTTTTAAATTAGGCTAATGATAATTACTACCTCCTTCCCAAATCCCTACAGTAACCTTTAGACACTTTTAGATTTTAATGAAGATTTTATTAACCCGTCTTCCTCCCAAAGGTTCCCACAATGTAGGTGATTTCAGCTTTTAATTCATTTTCAAATCAAGCGAACTGATCCCATAGTATTAACAGGTTTTTGGACATACAGTAGTCCCAGATGTAAATACACGAAAATCTGTCTTCTAAAAATCTATTCGCTAGTACTAAAATGTACCATGGTAATACCACGTTTTGGCCATGGTATACCAATGCACTCTTTAGTACGTATTTGTATAGCAAAGTACTACAGTATTACGTCTTGACCTTTTGTATAGGTAAGTTAGGGTTAGGTAAAAACCCCTCATTTCTGAAGCTGTTGTCTCTCCGGAGTGCGCTCGTGCGCATGCGCAGTCTCCGCCTGCAGCTCGGTCCGTGGCGGCTGCTGCTGCTGTCTCTGTCCGCCGCTCCGAGAAGCTCCGTGTTTTTCCGCCGCGTTCTCGCCCGTTTATGCGTCCGAATCCGCCCGCGCTGCTCGGTCCGTGCTCCCGGTAAAAGGCTCGTCTCACCACGGCTCCGGGCGTTATGCGCTCAAATGAGGCCTACACGCTGAAGCTGTCCTCCTCTTCCTCCTGCTCCTCCTCCTCCTCCCATGCATAAATCTCACCGTGATGGCTGATGATCAACAACAACAGCCCGGTGCTCCCGGAGCGTCCCTGCAGAGCCCCGAAGCGACGGCGCTGCAGTACAACAAGATCAAGAATTCCATTTGGTAAGAGATCCGATCAGTGTCCGATCTCAAAAACAGTCCAGCACATCTCACACACATCTCTGCGCTCAGAGAGAGAGGGAGACGCGGCACCTTGCGTGCTTGTAACGGGATGTCTGATTTCCATTGCATGTGATGTTTGACTGTTTACATAG